CGTCATTCTGTAGACAAGAACAAATGTGAATTCAAAGTATGTATGTACATATGTACATATGTACACAAAGTAATGCCCGTATGTGCGACAAACCTGCTCAAAAGCACTCAACGTTTCTGGCTAATAGCAGAATTTCTATTTTTAATTATTCTCCTAATAATGTGGATGTGTCATCTGAGCTCAAAACACCTTTCACACTCTGAATGCTTCACCTTTCATACCACAAGATTATTTACATGTCAATCATGTTGTGGTATAGATAAGTTTTTTTGGATTTTAACGCCCCCGTTTACGAAATCATAATAAAAAATTTCAGTGTACATTGCATTCAATATCGCCGTCATTTGGTGGACCAAGTTTCTCTGTTTGTTGCTTTGGTTGCATCTGTAGCTCATTAAAATAATATAGTTTTATAAACATACATACATATGTACATACATACATACATACATAGGTGCAAGTTTTTGTTTTCTTCTATATCACTCTCCTACATTGCCCGCTTTGTATTCGTGTCATTTTTTCATGGATTTCTACTGCTCCCACTATTTTCAATATAGACAAGCAACCAGCCAAACGATTGACTACCAACGCTCTTTTGTTAGCCGCTCAGCTCACTGATTAGGAAAGCGAAAAATTGCAAATGCAAATATCTGTTTGTTTTAAAGATTATGTTTATTTTCAACATTTACTTGTTTCATACGTTTACTTTCTACATTAAAAAGCGCGTGAATATTTTGGCACCGATGTCATGTTGTTGTTGTTGTTATTGTTGTTGTAGCGGTGTCATAATAACCGTCGCTGCTGGCTTCGTTATTTGTATTATTTTTTGCTATGTTTTATAATTTCCCAAAGTAAAAGCGCAAAAGTTTTTTTTTTGCACAAATTTATCATGAACATGCTGTTAGCCAAAGAGTAATTCTTCATTAGTATTAGGTTCCCACCATTAAGTGCTTTTGTTATCAGTTCACGTAATAATTCGCATCTGAATGAACTAAAGTACAACAACATTACGAATATATGTGTAGCAACCAGCCTCTATCAACTTTTCTATTATATTTTAAACAGTCAAATTTGCATTATATAAATTATTTGCTCATGATAACGGGGTCACTTCGTTTGTCTAGACCTAAACTGCAGTGAAATCATCGTCATCTACATACATTTTGAGCTATTACTGTAACTCGCCTTGCTTTTGCATAAATGATAGTCCAATCAACTCTAGCGTGATTTATATAGAGTTTAAAATATATTCGCGAGACATTGTATCCACATATTTGAAGAAAGGTGTAAAACAGGCAGTAGGGGTTGGAAATTTTCAGTTCGGACAGATAACCCTTGTCAGCATTTTCGTTGTGGCGTCTAAGGAGGGCATCCACATAAAAACAGGCAGACAGGTAGCAACTAAAATCCAACTAGCATTGAATCGTCCTTAGCAGTAAGTCAACATAGATTCATTGTATAATCGCGGAAGGGTAAGCTAAAGTAAAGAGATGAAATCATTTAAATAGCATTCTAAACTCCAATAACCAGGAAGGCCAGGGACCCGGACTTCTATATTTTTAACTTTTATAATCAAAGTCGTTTTAAAAAAATTCTTTTTGGAATTTTGTTTTATTTGAAATTAAATTTTCTGTCAACTCGGACTTTAATTTTTGTAGTCCAGTAATAACAAACTTGACCAAATATCTTTTAAGCCCGAAATAAGTCTTTCTAATAATAATATCCGAATTAAACAAATTTGGTATCAAATGAAGAAGGACTGAAATAGCTTTAAAACTGAACTATGTAAACAAGAAATGCCTTCTTTTGAAAAATATTTCAATAAAAAATGTCATTTAATTACCATAGAAGAAAGTTTGGTTCAGGTATATGAATTTATTTTGTATAGAATAGATAATACTTACGTGAATAATATCACTTATGTTTTTGTTTGAAAGCTATTTTCGTGCTCTTTCATTTGATACCGAATTTGTTTAATTTGAATGAGCGGTTTATTTATTATTTCGGTAAAAAAAAAAAATATTTGGCCAAGTTTAACCGTTATTACTGGAATAAAAAATAAAAGTCCGGAGTTTTCAGTTATTGAACTTTTTCCCAGAGAGTTGGGAAAATAAGAAGAATCCAGTACTCCTGTCCAGGAGGTCATGGGATCAAAGGAACATTGATAACTTTCTTCTACAATATTTGCGCCGGACTTACTTTCGGTCCCTGAGAAATACGGGTCTAAAAAAAAATGAGAACAATTGCTTTGCAAATTTAATATTGTACTTAAAAGGCAACGATATCCGACTTGTTCGATCTTTTTGGCACGAAACATTTATCGTACATGTACATCTTAATAAATTTCTGACTAAACTGCCCATACAAAATATATCTCAAGGATAAAAAGTATAGACAACACGTTTACAATTTTTAGCGCCGCGAGTCTCTGCTGCCATTTTTCATGTTTTCTCATGCAAATCTAATGGTCTTCAAAAGACGTGATAAATTTCTGGGTTCAATGTGGCGGAAGTATGACCGACTTCATGACCCAGTGATCTGATATAAACCAAATTAGTATAGGACCACCTCTGACGTATGTACCATCTTTCCATAAAAAAAATATAATTATAGAAATCGGTTAACGTGGTTCAAAGTTAAACGGTAACATACATACAAAAAAATATTCCGACGAATTGATAATCTCCTTTTTTGATATCGGTTTAAAACAATGGAATTCGCTAAAATTCCACAAAATTTTGACTTAGAGTGCCTATAACTCAGCAAGTTTATGAATTTATATGAATTAAGGGCCTTATTCTGTATCACGAACGATAGGCAAAACGAACGATTCGTCTGCAGACGACAACCTCTCAGAAAATTATGTCAAAAAGCTGCAACAAACTTTAGAGTCGACTTTATTTTGACTATGAATATGCCCCATTTCTTAAAAAATTACGGTATTCTATGGGCTATAAAACTGCATACCTAGAATTTTTCCAAAAAATCCACGGGAACCAATTCGACAATTTGTTGGGGGGACCGATAAGTTTTAAGATAAATTTTAGTGGGTGAGCGCTTAACATTTTAAACTTTTTTTGGACCACCCTAATGTACATACATACATGTGTTTTGAATAAATTCGGTATTATATTATACGCCCTTGAAATAATATCATTGATTTGCTAGGCGATGATAAAAAAATAAAATTTTAAGCCTAGAGTGCTCGCACTATGAGCATTTTTTCGCCCAGGCAAAAAAAAATCGTTTTATTTTATTTGTAAAGGCATAAAATAAACAATCAGTTGGAAAGCAATAGAAATTCTTGCTGGTCCAGCCGACAGGGCTTCAAAAAAACAGTTAGTATTATTTACTCAACAATCTTCTAGCGCTTAATATTCGGTTTCATTTTAAATCCGACACATACACACATGTGCACATGATTTCCAGCGCTTCATTAAGCGCAGATGATTCACTGCTACCTTCAAATCTCATTAAAAAAATATGAGTTTAGTCGCTGGTGGCATTGCAGTCATCAACGACGCGTCGCTCGCTTATTCGTAGCTGTCGTCGTCGTAGTCGTGGATAGCCAAAAACGAGATGCCTTACATACAGCCGTAGATACTGAAAGGGGTTCGGAATGTATCGAAGGCATGAATGGTTTGGATGGTGGCATATTGAGGCGCACTCAATTTTGGTTGGGTTGGCAAATTAAAATTCTGTTTGCGTTTTGAATTCGCCAATATGGCTGAAAGAAAAAAAACTAAAAAATGCATACATATACAAAAAACGCAAATGGAATTGTATCTCCACATTCAAGTTCGTCTTGCTGACGATGCTCAGAGCTGCTATGTCCGAATATTTTCGTTTAAGTAGTTTAAGACACGTTTTATTGTTGTCATATTCAGCGTTTGGTGTTGACGCTTTTAATTGTGGCATTGTTGGTGATTTTGTTGTTGTTGTTTTCTACTTTGTTTTCGTACTTCTTTACTAAGTCTTGTGCGTTTGGTTTAGACTGTTTTCGAAATTTTTAGCACAGTGAAAGGTTTACGGAAGTATGCTTGACTGTTATTTTGCTACTTATTAGAAGAGAGAAAAACTAAAAATAAATTAAAAGGCGGTAAGAAATGTTAAACTTAGCTGAATATTCGTTAAATACGGTCGATGCCGTCATCGCTATCGGGGAATCGCTTCGCGTGCACCGCAAAAGCTGACAAAAGGGACGGAGTAAACAAGCCAACGGACTGACTATGATTGAGTGCGTACGCGAGTGTATAAATTGTAGAAACGGCGCACACTGGGGCCAAGCGTGCTAAAAACTAAATTAAAAGAAAATCCTGTTGTTGGAGAAATAAAAACGCAGGTTTATTCCCTATTAAATTCTACATTTGGGGCTAAGTTTTTAGCATTCTATCGTTTTTTGGCTGGGAGATATGCGTGTCCAAACTTCACGAATTTGAACAATATTTTATATTTATATTTTCAAAAGAGAAATTCAAATTTGCAATTCAAATTGTTACTGTAAGAAAGCGGTTAAGTTTATTTATTTTTTTGTTTTTATTATGTTTAAAAAAAAAACTAAACTAACCGCTATTATTTGCAAGTGTAATTTTCTAAATCGTTTTTTTTTTTTTTAATGCGCAAAGCGCTTTTTAATTTGACAGTACCGCAATAAAGTATGTTCCTTCCTTACTTAAACTGTTTATTATTTTAAAGCGGAATTATTTCAATCAAGGGTTAATGCATGATGAATAATGGGTTAGGACGTCAAAAATTTATTCTTAAAATGTTGTTCAAGCGAGTCTAATGGACAGAAAATGATTTCAAAATTTTGAGCACCCGCTTCTATGGGGTGGCCCCAGTGTGCGGCGCCGGCACTGAGTACTGGCAGCATGCTGTAGGCTGATAGCTGGGTCTATGTATATGTATGTGAGTGTGCCAGCGCATTTTCCTGTTCCATTTAACCTGCATAAATTAAAAAACTGCACTAAACAATAAATTAATAATTTTTTGTTTTGATTTTCTTTTCCTGTTTAAGTTTCCTTTTTATTGCTCTTTTGTTTTGTTGTGGGACAGTAATTTATCGCTCAAGCTGTTTATTCATACAAATTTCCCGCATTTAAATCGTTTAAATTTCACATTTCTTCAATGTAAACAACATCATCTTCATCGTCTTCCCCCCCGTCTACGCCATTGTTTTTATCATTTCTCGCTTTCAATTGCTGCTGCTGCTGCATCTGTTTTTGCTTCTCTGCCTCTTCGGCCTCCTCTAGCTCTTGCTTATCGTAGCTGGCCTGAATGCGTTCCAACAAATCGGTCGCCACTATCGCGAATCCCTCCCACACCGCGTCCGGCCGTGTGCTATGCTCAAACAAACGCTCCTCATCCAAGTAGTCGACCAACAAATCACAAATATCATCTAATATTTGCTCCTGGCATACATCGGCCACATTGCTAGCGTCAATCAGCAGATTCCACATTGCTTGACAAATGATTGTGGCCAAGAACCAATCTTCCTCCTGTAGCGCAGCACCCAGCAACGTGTGCAATAGCTCTGGGCCTTTATGCTGCATGAATGGCGCACGATTTTCAGCATCGCCCAGCAAGTTGACGAGCACACCAATGGCACAGGCCTTGAAATCGTACGCCTGGCTGGTATTTGTTGCGGACAGCTGTTGTACGATCAGCGCCAGGCCGCCGTTGCGACAGAAGTAGCGACGTGCCTTGTCGTTGCGTGTCAAATTGCCCAATACACGAGCCGTCTCCACTTGTGATGCTTCGTCGCGGCAAGACTTCAGCGCGTAGAAGAGTGCTGTGGCTAAATCGCCGAGCACACATTGCAATGAACCCTTGGCTGTGAGCGCTTGTGCCGGTGTGTTATTCTGTTCCTGATAGAAGCATAGATTGTGTAGTGCGCCCAGTGTGGCATGCAACAATTCCTGTAAGTCGCTCTTCTGTAATGCAACAACAAATTAATATATTTAAATTGCATTTCCTATGCGTTTGCTGTGTTAGTACGCGACTTACCAATTGTATGGCCTTCATGTGCGTAATGGCATTCAATAGATTGAGCATGATGATGCCCAGATTGTGTGTATTTCCCAAACCAATGCCAACCTCGGCATTCACGCTCATATTTGCGACGACTCGTATCATTTTAACGAGCACATCGATCACCGTATCGCCCAGCGAGTTGTGGAGTGTCAAAGGCTCTTTGGAGTAGAGTTCCAGTACGCGCAGCAAATACTGCATTGCAACATCGTTGTGAAAGAACTGTTGAGCTCAAAATGAGTTTTATGTTAAATTAGATTGGAATTATCATCGAAAGTTAAGAAGTTACAATTACAATAAAAAAATAATACATAAGTTTTGTTGTTTGATTTTATTTCACTCTGGGAGATGGTTTTGTTTTTGAATAAGTCGATACCCTTAAACTTGAGAATAGGCGGTTTCGAAACCTTGAGGAGAAACAGGGAAATGTTGTCAAATAAGGGGCGTCTAATAATATGGGGCGGTAATAACTGCAAAATTATTCAAAGGTAAGGTTATTAGAAAAAAAAAATTGGTACGTTTTGCTCTTACAACGTGTTTATCGATAAAGTAGTCGATATGTATAGATAATTCTAAATTTTGTAATTAGTATACATACATACTTATGTATTTGTTATTATTATTTGTCGATATCATTATCGATATATGTATGTAGATACGTACCGATGAATATCGATGATACATTTTTAATGTTCTTATCGAATTCGGTTACTCCCTCAAACAACGATTAACCGCCCTATTCCCACAACACTGACAAAATTCATCATATGACTATTGTCACAATTACTGCGCCTAAAACACAATATAAACATTGTTTCGCCGTTGTGACTTACTCAGTAGATCATAACAATAAAACTGACAATTGTCATACGACAGCTTAAAATAAATTTGCGGCATAGTATTAGGCGCAGTAGTAAAGGCAATAGTCAGTCGCTGAGTTTTGTCAGTGGTGTGGGAATAGGGCGGTAAATTTATGAACATGTATCGATATATTTATCGATTGCGTTATCGATATTTCTGTCGATATATAAAAATCACAATGGTTATCGATAACAATATTTGTATCGATTAAGTCGTTATGATTATCGATATGTTTTCCGATTAAAGCCCCCTATGGTTATCGATACCGATGCTAGTCGTTCGTGATTTTTTCATAAAGTCACAAAAAAGGTTTCTCAGAGGGAATCTGAAAAGTTATCGAAAAATAAGCGAGGAAACTCAAAACAGACTTACATTTTCCGAGGTATCTACCTCTTTTCGGACATTTTCCCCGTAGCGCGTTAACTTACATTTTACATTCTGCAGTTGAAAATCGACTTGCAGTACGAAAACTGAAAATTAACTGTCGAATGTGAGTTGTGCAACACGACATGGGAAAACTATAATTATTTGTGTAGATATTCACACCTAGTTGGTTTTTATTAATGGCAAAAAATAGTTCACTGTCTAAAAAAACTAATCTCATATTAAAAAAAAAATAATATTTAAAAAGTATTTTCTTGAAAAACGCCAATTTTTTAAAAAACATGGTTTTTATAGAGATTAAACAAGCTTTATGATGGTGTGATTTTAAATCGCTAATTTACTGGTCTTCACTATGTAAATCAACTTCAAAAAGTTGTAACTATTTAAACCTGAAAAAGCTTTAGGGCAATCATTCTTTAGCTTTAAAATGACGTTTAGACGAAGTCTCTGCGATGGGTAGAACGCGAGATACAACGATATGAAGAAGTACATTATTTGTGAGAATCACGAAAAAATCCAAGTTAAGACAAATCATGTCTCCGAAGAAAAGAAATTTCTCGAATACGCATAAGCTTATTTCATATATAGAACCCTTACCAAATTTGAAGCCGAAGGTGTGACATAATATATGGTATCCGATATGTTTAAGAATGCCGAATTACACGGAAGGTGTGAATACCTACAATATTTTTTTATCACTCAGTTCTCCCAGTTTTTAAGAAATACAAAATTATATATATTATTTATATGAGGGTGTTATCTCCTCTAACATTTGGCAACTCCTAAGCAGAATCCACTAAACCCGGTAAACTAAAATCGAAAAACTTAACTTTGAATTTACGGACACCGCTGAAATAAAATGTCTAGCTGCTAGTATGTCGCAAAATATATATCCGCTCGAACCCAGTTTAAATTTTGTTGTTAATTTTTTTTTAATATAATTCCTTTAAAGGTTAAGTTCGTTTTCTAACAGCTAGCGATAAGTTATTTCGCTAATTAAAAGTCTCACTCATAACAGAGAGATCTTTCCATATCTTCTACAACATATTCTTATACATACATATGTAACTCACCAGCACCCGAGCGTTGTCGTATTTAGCCATAATATTGCCGAGTATGTAGCCCAGTCTACTGAATAGTGACAGCAATTTTTCCGAAGCATTATCAAAGATCTCACAACAGGGACCCAAAAGCATGCCAATGCGTGCTGTAAAGTTGACCAACACATGGCAACAATCGCCGTCCTCGGATAGCACACTGCAACAGCAACAACAATTTCCATGTTAATTAAATTCGCATTTAAATATTTCAGCAATATGTAATCCCCTCCCTCTCCGTTGCAACTTACCTCAGTGTGCGCACAA